CCGAGTCCAACCAGTTCCAAGTCCTGTCCTGTCCAACTCGCTAAGTCACCACCCGACTCACTGATTCGGGCCTCGACTCGAAGGGTTCAGGGTTTTCGCGATCTGACTCGCCGAGTCCAAGAACAGACTCGCCGAGTCCTAGACAATCTTCAACCAACTCGCCGAGTTGCTCATCCAACTCGCCGAGTCCATGCCTAACTTCATCCAACTCGACGAGTTGTTCATCCTACTCGTCGAGTTCCTCCTCATCTTCAAGCTACTCGCCGAGTCCACTCGAAGGACTCACCGAGTCCATACGGTTCTACATACATGCAGAGGACCTTTGAGTCATGCATGGACTCCAAACTGTAGATCCACTCTTTTAAGGTCTATTCCTTACGTAAAGTTGCAAACTTTACGTGTAGAGAAGGAGATCTAGGCAAGATACGCCATTAACTAGGGTGAAAGGCCAAGGGACTTCAAAATCAACACAATGACTGATACTTTATGCTTCTCCAGGCCCTAAAACACTTGAATCTGAAGTAGCAACTCTAGATCCGGCTTCTAACCCAAAATAATAACATTATGGCAAAAGAGCCCCAACAACCACACATAGATCTAGGTGCAAAAAGGGTCCAGGAACTAGTTTATTACCTCCAAGTGCTCAAAATGAACTCACAATCCCAGATCTATAGCTCCTTCTTGCTCCTCCAAGTTCCTTCTCCCTTTTCCAAGCTTTAAAGCACCTTCCAAGGCTCAACTAAGAGATATGACGGCTAGGGTTTGATATCCAGGGTTAAAGAGGCAGTAAGGAACCCTGGGAAGAAGATTAAGACACTTATATAGGCCCCAAGTCCCGAATTTAGGGTTTTTCCCGCACAGACCAGACTCGCCGAGTCACCCTGGTCGACTCGCCGAGTCGGTCACTTACTCCCCGACCCGGATCCCGCTCGGACTCGCCGAGTCCCTCTTAGACTCGCCGAGTCAACCCCTAAACTTAGAGTTTTCTTCCTTTCTTGGTCTTCGAAACTTTGGGTGTTACAACTCTCCCCCACTTAAACTAAACTTCGTCCTCAAAGTCTGCTATGGCCCACTGCCTGCGAGTTGCCCCTAAACCCAACCAACTATTTCAACACCAGCTGCTTACCCTTGCTGGCTTTCGCTCGATCCTTCCGACTAACCTTAATCCCTGCAGATAACACCTCGGGTCAACCCCGACCCTGAACATCCTGGAGACCCAACTTACTCAACTAGTAATGCTTCTGATACTCACCGAGTACTGAACTGAACCTATAGGGGTCCGCCCCTTCCTGTCCTTGCGCAAATCCCTTGCCTTCCCAAGGCAAGGTTCTATAACCAACTATTTCTCTGTAACTGTGAAGGTCCTATACTTCACCAACTCCATCACCCTCGCCAATTCCAGTACGGGTCAATACCGCCAACAACCACCGACGCCCCTATCTGACATAACTTGGTGCCGAGCACCCCCGGTCCTTACTGACGCCTCCATATTTGGGTTACCGAACCCTACCGGTTACTACACCCCTTCGCAATCTCCTAGTCGCTTCCAGCGACTCCTGAAAATACTTCGAGTATCTATAACTGTTCTATCCATTCTTCCGCTCATACTGAAACGATGCTGTTGGGAATAGCTTGCTTATATCCCATCTGATTATTCAACTCCTACTAACTCGAGTCTTTCATCCCGAAGAAAAGCTACTTGCCTAGCTATCTTCACATGTCACTTATGCTCGGCCGAAGGCTCAACTGATCCTGCTGAGAGAGACTTGTCATTTCCACATCAACCAACTATACCATCGACACAAGTATTCCAACTCAAATACAATACTGACCCAAAACTCCGAAACCTTTCAAACACGACCCAATTTTTACGTCCGAAAATTTCATTTTAAAATATTACTTTAGAAAACATTAATAAATAAAAACATTGTTTGATCACACCATAACACATCGTAACCATGTTCTAAAAGGTCAAACCATACATCCCATCAAAATATCAGAGTACAATCCCAGTAAATCTCGTAAATGCGGAAACCGAAGAGTGTGTGTATGACGTGCCGCTACCGCGCCGGCTCCTTCCCCTTCGATGCAGAGGTACCTGAAAACAAAACTGTAAACGTAAGCACAAAGCTTAGTGAGTTCCCCCAACGTACCGCATACCATACAAACACATAACATAAATACTGCCAGGCTATTCTGGGGTGCCTAACTACCCGGTACGACCATTCTGGGGTGCCGACCTACCCATACGGCCATTCTGGGGTGCCGTCCTACCCGTGTCAAGCCATTCTGGGGTGCTGACTACCCATGTCAAGCCATTCTGGGGTGCTGACTACCATTCTGGGGTGCTGACTACCCATATCAAGCCATTCTGGGGTGCTGACTACCCATCGGTCCTAACAACCGATCCTCGGGGATTGGTCCCCTCCCGCTACCTCTATCGCATAGCATAACAGACCAACATACAAGCATACCATTACATACAGTCAGATAATTCTGGGATGTCTGACGACCCAGCGGTCCTAACAACCGAACTCTACTACTACTGCATATAGCGTATCATGATAGCATGTAACATAACAGGTAATAACAAACCTAGATGATATCACAAAGACAATCATCTATCATACATCTCCTACTGGTGGGCCGGCATTGTGGCCTTAGACTCACCACTACTGGAAGGTAACTCACCTGAACTGCTGAGACCTACTGATAAATCTCTGGCTGCTACCCGATAATCCCCTGATCCGCTGCTCCTCCAGCTCTCCGAGCTATCAATATACATATAACACTTAGTCTGACAGTCAACTAAGTCAACTCTGGTCAAAGTCAACCTTCCAGGTCAACCCTACTCGCCGAGTCTTCCTAAAGACTCGCCGAGTTCATAAGCTCAGGGTCTTTCTTATTCGCGACCCGACTCGCCGAGTCAGTCCATGACTCGCCGAGTCCAACCAGTTCCAAGTCCTGTCCTGTCCAACTCGCTAAGTCACCACCCGACTCACTGATTCGGGCCTCGACTCGAAGGGTTCAGGGTTTTCGCGATCTGACTCGCCGAGTCCTAGACAATCTTCAACCAACTCGCCGAGTTGCTCATCCAACTCGCCGAGTCCATGACTAACTTCATCCAACTCGACGAGTTGTTCATCCTACTCGTCGAGTTCCTCCTCATCTTCAAGCTACTCGCCGAGTCCACTCGAAGGACTCGCCGAGTCCATACGGTTCTACATACATGCAGAGGACCTTTGAGTCATGCATGGACTCCAAACTGTAGATCCACTCTTTTAAGGTCTATTCCTTACGTAAAGTTGCAAACTTTACGTGTAGAGAAGGAGATCTAGGCAAGATACGCCATTAACTAGGGTGAAAGGCCAAGGGACTTCAAAATCAACACAATGACTGATACTTTATGCTTCTCCAGGCCCTAAAACACTTGAATCTGAAGTAGCAACTCCAGATCCGGCTTCTAACCCAAAATAATAACATTATGGCAAAAGAGCCCCAACAACCACACATAGATCTAGGTGCAAAAAGGGTCCAGGAACTAGTTTATTACCTCCAAGTGCTCAAAATGAACTCACAATCCCAGATCTATAGCTCCTTCTTGCTCCTCCAAGTTCCTTCTCCCTTTTCCAAGCTTTAAAGCACCTTCCAAGGCTCAACTAAGAGATATGACGGCTAGGGTTTGATATCCAGGGTTAAAGAGGCAGTAAGGAACCCTGGGAAGAAGATTAAGACACTTATATAGGCCCCAAGTCCCGAATTTAGGGTTTTTCCCGCACAGACCAGACTCGCCGAGTCACTTTGGTCGACTCGCCGAGTCGGTCACTTACTCCCCGACCCGGATCCCGCTCGGACTCGCCGAGTCCCTCTTAGACTCGCCGAGTCAACCCCTAAACTTAGAGTTTTCTTCCTTTCTTGGTCTTCGAAACTTTGGGTGTTACAACTCTCCCCCACTTAAACTAAACTTCGTCCTCAAAGTCTACTATGGCCCACTGCCTGCGAGCTGCCCCTAAACCCAACCAACTATTTCAACACCAGCTGCTTACCCTTGCTGGCTTTCGCTCGATCCTTCCGATTAACCTTAATCCCTGCAGATAACCCTTGTCTGGTAGGTTGTGCTACCAGACAAAGTTATCATGTGATGTTGTCATGCTATGTTGACAAACATTGTTTTCATGTTGTTTAGGTTATATCAATAAACCTAACATTTTCACTCACAGAAACATACTAACAACGTGGTTGGATCGTAAGACAAAAAAACAAATAATAGCAACAAGAATTCATAAAGCTTAGTTATAAACTTATTCTGATTAAGGGTTTTCAATAACTCTCACAAAGAGAGAATACACAAAGTGGCTTACAATAAGGTTAACCCTAGCATAACATATATATACTAAGTAAAAACGTCAATAATGGAAATCCCTACAAATCAAGGATATATATATATATATATATATATATATATATATATAACATACAATCCTAATCACTAAGATTACAGATAAGATCCTTGAAGCATAAGAAACACTGCACGTTGATACTAAAAGATTTGGCAGTGTGATGTCACGCTGCAATATGATACAAATTAAAAAGAGTTTTATAATCATCAGATTCTTAGGTGTAGCCTAACAAACGTAAATACAAAAAACAAAGTACACAAACCTCTAAAGCACACACAATCTAAAATAGTTTTTTAGGTAACACATTGGTTTTTGTTTACATTTAATAACCATGTTTTTTGTACACGTTTGACTAGTAAGCTTGTTTAATCTATTTATAATATGGTAATATCACCGGTAATTACCGATGATATTACCCTATTATGAATACATCAAACAACTTATTGATTAAATATGTACGGAAAAAAAATGATTATCTAAAAGTAGACAAAAATCAAACTTTGTTACCATTGTAGGTTATTAACCTAAAAAAAGCTACAAGGAAGAAAAAAAAAAACCAAACTCTTGTGCTCGACTTACCAAAAGTCAATTAGCCAAGGGCTATTCTGCAATTTAATTTGCTCAGGGAAACTGATACGTATGAATACATATAATCAAGCGAAGTGTTCCGTGTTCGATCGGTTGTGCTATATAAGTTGGAATCTTATGCTATTTACTTTATCAATCAAACCTGTTCTAGAATTTTGATATACGGAGCTCGGCACTGAGAGAATCTTTGTACTAGGGTTTCTAATTTATGGAGAACATCAGGAGAGCATCGCACGCAGGTTCATGGTACTCCAGTAATTGTAAGTCCCGTATAATCCTCAAGTTTCATATGCATTCCCATTAATTGAAAACCAATTTGATCATCAGTTTCATATCTTGCTAAATTTTTTGGGTTTGATCGAGATATAGAGTTAATCTTGACTGATTGAAGGTTTCAGTTGATAGGAAGTGTGCGATTTTTGTTCCCGATTATCCCTTTTCGTGTCATGACTCATGAGTGATTAAGATTGCTGCTTTTGAAGTATTAACGATACGATTGTTGAAAAAGTATATGAATAACTAAAGTTTTACACTATACTGTCTGTGATTAAGGTAGCAATTAGATGATTCTGAGTTTGCACCCAAATAAAATAAATTGAGAAATTCTGATGATTTTATGTTCATCAGCTCAAACATTAGAAGCAGAGCTTGATGGATGGCTTAGGGAATGTGGTTTGCCCAAATCTCCAGATGTCAGAGGTGTAATTGCTCCGTAAGTAAAATCTCCATTTTCAATCTTTCTCATATTTTCCATTGAATTTTCTAATACATTTGTCATTTTATCCACTAGACATGCAGGTTATTCTTATTCTGGACGTGCAGCTGCTTTTGCATTTGGAAACATTGATCCAACTAACATGTAACCTCATTCCCCCAAATTATACATTTATACACACCTCCATTTTTTTTTGTTATATTTGTTTCTAATTATGTAGATGTTTACATTTTTCAGTACTCGGATATTTCTTCTTGGTCCTTCTCATCACCATTACACCCCTAAATGTGCTCTTTCAAGAGCAACAATTTACAAGACACCAATAGGCGACCTCCCTATAGATCTTGAAGGTATCCTATTGTATCTGACACATTTTATATGTCAGATACAATATAAGTAATGTATCAGGTACAATGTGTAAACACATTGTACCTGATGATACATACACAGTATGTATACAAATGTGGCTGATACATACATTATGTACGTATCAGCCACATTAACCTGACAACATGTCTCTTAAATTTTGTTGAAATCGCAGTCATTGAAGAGCTAAAAGCTACTGGAAAATTTGACATGATGGATATTGAAGTTGATGAGGCTGAACATAGCATGGAAATGCACTTACCGTATCTTGCCAAAGTATTTCGTGGGTAAGTGTAAGTCTTTTTTTTTTTTTTTTTTTTTAAAATCGAAGTTCTTATTCCGACTTATAACATTCCGATTCCGGTTTGCTTGCATGATTCCAGCCATTCGGTTAAAGTTGTTCCTATTATGGTTGGGGCTGTAAGCACAGAAAATGAAGCAATGTATGGACGATTGCTCTCCAAATATATTGATGACCCGAAAAATTTCTTTTCAGTTTCATCTGATTTTTGTCACTGGGGTTCTAGGTATGCTAAGATCATATGTTCCTTTTCTTTAATTATATAAAATGTCTATAAATTCATAAAATTTGTTTTTTATCATTTATATAGGTTCAATTACATGCACTATGACAAGAAACATGGAGCTATTCATAAATCTATTGAGGCATTGGACAAGATGGGAATGGAAATTATAGAAACTGGAGATCCAGATGAATTTAAACACTACTTGTTGGAGACTGATAATACAATTTGTGGACGTCATCCCATCAGTGTATTTCTTCATGTAAGTCCTAACATTTTACTAATTTGCCCTTGTTTATTTTTATGCATATAAAGTCCTTTTACAAATAAATCACTTTGTTGACAAGTAGATGTCGAAGAACTGCTCAACAAAGATTAAGATAAAGTTTCTTCGATATGAGCAGTCAAGTCATTGCAAAAGCATGAGAGACAGCAGTGTGAGCTATGCCTCCGCAGTCGCAAAGTCGGAATAGCTGATTCCGGTTTTGGATTCATTGCATTATGTAATTCCGAACCTTGTTTTTCTTAATTTGAACCGTGTCTCTCTCTCTCTCGTTTTGTTTCTTGTCAATAATATGAAATTTCTGAAACCGTATGATTGAAACTAACATTTTAGCTTTTGATAACTCTCGTAAATCGTTTCCATTAATGTAAAGTTTATGTAAAAATAACAAGTCTTTTGCATTCATTATGTGTGATTATACTAAAAATCCCGCAAAAGAATCAACCAAATAACAACATGATATGAATATGACAATGACACGGTTGTTGTGATTCCGATTCCGATTCCGGTGATCATATCTTGTTAAGTTTTGCAAGGAGGAATACAGAGGCGGAAGTGACGGCCGGAATGAATACGTCATTCGGAACGGCATTTGGAGCTGCGCGCTGTTTGATAAATGTGGTGATGACTGGGATTCCGAAGATGAAGAGGAGTATGTCTTTGATTCCCATTCCGGTAACTCCGGAATCCAGGATTATATCCTGCAAGATCTTCTGAAACTCGTCCTTGCTCAAGGACTTCTCTTTTCCTTTATGGTGCTTCTGCAATTCATTCCCATGATTCCATTCCAAAGATCTCATCAAGATTTGTATCACATTTATTTGCCCAAAATAACACATCTGGATTGCATTCTTGTATCAAATTTAAGGGTTATCTATAGAAAAGTCCCAAACTTTTTTCAAAAGTTTCAATAAAGTTCTAAAAGTTTTTTTTTTTTTTTTTTTTTTTTAAATAGAAAAGTCCCAATATTTTGAAAAAAAAAATCATATAATCTATCATTTGTTATTCAAATATAAAAAAGGATTTTTTTCAGTAATTTAGGCAAAACATCAAAATATTGGGACTTTTTTGTTCAAAAAAAAACTTTAAGACTTTATTGAAACTTTTGAAAAAAGTTTGAGATTTTTCTGTAGATAATCATATTTAACTCCCAAGTGCCACATTCACGATTTAACTTTAATTCATTAATTTTAGAACAAAGAGCATAGGAGATGAACAACTTAAATGACAAGATGTTAATAGTTTCAATTGTTACTCATGAATATGTTATAAATTTATTATGATTTGTATTATTAAATTATAAATGTGTACTTATTAGATGTTTTTATTCCAAAAAAAAGATACCAAACTTACGTTGTAGGCTTGTTCAAGGGTAGAACTCTTTGGGACATGAAACTGTGTGCTCCCAAGCATCTTGTTCATTTCTCTGTCAAATCAGCATAATGTAAGTACAAAAATATTTCCAGTGATATTCGTTTAAAAATAATGAAATAGATTTTATGTATTAAAATGGTTTTTATATAACATTGGTGTTTAAATTACTCGACTGTCTCACAAACTGCATGATAAAACTCAGCTGAGTTCCATTTCTTGTTTGGATCTGCAAAATATTTGTCATAGCATTTCCCCACCAAAGGACCAATATCTTTATTTTCCTCTTTTCCTATACAAAATCATGATTAAATTAATTATATGTATGTGTGTGAAGACAGAAGAAAATCAATGAAGGGAAATCATGTAAAAACAGACAGAAAAATAAAATTTTGAAAGAGAAAGATACCAAAAGTCTGTCCCATGTTTTTAGGCTTCTTGCAAAGGTTTAACTAAGTTGAAAGAATTGAATTGAATTGTGTGTATGATATATATGAATAACATTGGATTTATATAATGATTCTTGCTAACGAAGAAGGGTATACTTGCATTTCTAATCTTAATGGTAAGGAAAAGTTGAACACTGATTGACTCATTGAAGGAAAGAATAGTTAGGATTGGCCCATGTTCTTTCTAATATATTACACAATTAGATCCTCTAGTTTAATAAATTGTATTTTTCACACCACCTAAACTTTCACTTTCACATGTAGAAAATGGATCGAGTACTGGATAACAAGAGGAAAAAATTTAGGATGGCTAAAAAATATTTAATATATTGACCAATTTTTTGTCCATTTCTTATGAGTTCTACAAATTTTTAATATAGTAAAATATTATTTTCGATTTAGATCGATTTTGTTTGCAAGAAAACAAGGGCTAATACCGATTCATTCTGGAAGAAAATTCCTTCATAAAAAAGCTTAGACTCATAAAATACTTGAATTGTTTTGTAATTTCGTTCATTTCAAAAGAAAAAGGAACTTGAAACCGATTTAACTGATTTAATGGATTCTATTGTTTATGTGACCTCCATCTTGTACAAAATTACTTAGATAATGTATAATTTGTTTGAAAAAGTTGACATGGCTTGCAAGTCGTATAAACGTGAATTTTTGATTTTATATGAATTGCTAAAATCGATGGCTTTGAAGATGATATGCCTAACTAAAATTCTGTAGATGGTTAGAAAGACAAAAACTACACAACTCATTGATCCCTTATAAAGTCAACGTCCCAAGTCAAATCCACCTATAACTTCGAAAAGTCAATGCCTAATTCACACCCCAAGCCCACGAATCAAATACTTGTATTCGATCCGACCCGTTTGCAACCCTAACATCCGATACAGATAACATGATAACCTCAAAAGTCAAAGAAAGAATCCACAGAGCTGACTTCTTATCATAATCACCACTTGCCATAGTTGACTTTGACTTGGTCTATACCAAATTAGCAAACCATCTCCATATACATTTCAATTTTCAATTCTCACAATAGAAAGAGATCTAAAAGCAATGGAATACAAGCATTTCAACCATGAGCACAACCTATCGATGTACCAAGTGCAGCTAGGGCAACAACTGCGTTGCTCTGGCTGCGACAAATTCTGTGATAAAACCATTTACGCTTGTTGGCACTGCAAATTTTTTCTTCACGAGCATTGTGGGAACGCTACTCGATACATACGACACCCTTTTCACACACCTCATCCTCTCATTCTTAGCCCATACCCAACTTACCCTTCAAATTGCTTCTTATGTAACGCCTGTGGAACCACGGGAACTAGGTTTTCATATTGTTGTGCATTATGTGAAGTCGATCTCCATGTCAATTGTGCTTTCCTCCCCCCAAAGGTACTTTAATTTCAAGTTTCATTCGCCTTTTCATTCAATTGGGTTCCTTAAAAAAGAGCAAATTGTTAATTAAGTGTGTTTGTGTGTATACATACAGGTAGCACATAAGGCTCATCCACATGAGCTACTTCTTAACGTTAGCAATCGAACCCAGGATCAGAATGCAACAAACCAAGTGTGCAAGATATGTAGAAAGTCGTTGGATTGTAAGCATTGGTCGTATGAATGTGGTGTATGTGCAAACTATGGTGTTCATACATTGTGTGCGACAGCTGAGGTAAAAATGGGTCTGTACCAGATGGATGATGGGTCGGATACTGAATCTGATCAGGGGCAGGGTGCACCGAAGCCTCAACAGGCTGCACCAACGGCTCACCAGGGTCCAAGTGAGGGTCAGGTTCAGGTGGAACTAACACCACAGGAAGCTCTTGCATTTCTTCATCTCATGGGACTTACTAATGGTGCTTCTTATGTATAAGCTTTGTATTGAAGTTGTATGCGTAATTGAGATTTAATTAATTAACCCGATTTTAATTTATTTGTAAATGATTGTGGGTTCGTGGCTTACTGTTAATAAGGAATGTAAACTTATCCTTTAACTAACCTACTCCAAAACACTTATCCTTTTGACTTTCTCCTAAATGTTATGTTGGATGGAATCAAGATCCATTTGAGTAGCAAACAATTCAATCCATGTGCCATACCTACCAACTTCTATCTTACCCTATATGCAATTATTATATACATCCCCACTCACTAACTCCTTTAAAATTTTTAAAATTCCATTACTTTATAAAACAGATTCGAATTTAGAAAATCTTGCACTAAATATTTATCAGTACAAAACAAAATATCCCCACAAAAAGACGTGTTAAACATCATCACCACCTTTTTTTCTTGTTACAACTTCCACCTAATTGATTCCAACCCAAACCAAGAATATCCAATTCTTCACGAAAATACATAAATCCCATTTTAAATCAATTACTTCTTCTATTTAATAACAGTTTGCAACAAAAACAAAAATACAAGCAAAGAAAACATTATTAGATTTTTGTTAATTAGATTTAGATGCCTTCCTTGGGCATGATATAAGTTCAGTTCACAAACCATAAGTCTTGTTTCTACTCTTACTCTATCTACAAAAAGCTCTTATGCTGTTACTAAATGACTAGCTCCCTTAAGTGGAAGCATGCAAGAGTAGGTCACATACTTAACACTATCTAATAAAACAACAACAAATATCCTTGAAAACGACTTGGGCCCACCCATCATCCCCTCCACATCACCACCACCATCGCCGCCTTCTCGAGGGTCAAACAACACCGAAACCACCATCGATGAAACCGAATTGTTCTTGTGATGTTCTTCATGCTTTGAGCTGTTTCCCGCCACTTGTTCTTTTGTGATGTTGGTGGTGGAGGTGGATGCCGATAGGGGAATCGGGAGGCTGTGGAGGATCCGCCGGTTTTTCACGTTCGTAATGTAGGTGGAGTTATGGCGGTCTTCGGCGGTGATATTGGCGGTGGATGTCGCCGAAACTAAAGCTCCAGAAGCGGAAGCCACCGAGACATCGAACTGAAATACTTCTGTGCACATACCAGAACTTAACATAGGCCCTGTGTAACAAAAAAATCCACCCAATTATAGCAATGATTAAGATCTAACAGGGGATAACTAAAAACAATGGATCAAAGAAACAGAAGTAAGCAAGAATATGTGTTTGATGAAAGTGTTATAGTGATACAAAATTGAGAAATAATTACCAGCGAGACCTTCACGAAACCATTGTTGCAGTTTTCCATCAGCATGTTTTGACTTCAACTTCTCTTTGTCTGATGAGAGAATCCTTTGATGATCGCTTGAAGACCTGTAAATATGGGGTTGTCTTCCACTGTTTCTTCCCACTTTTGGAATGGAGATAGCAGGGACTAAATCTAGGGCAACTGCCAAACCAGTATCCTCCTTTTTAGTCATTCCTTGTTCTTCCATTGAAGCCATAGCTTTCTCGCTTGCTAGAACAGAATGGATTATCAAATTCCCATCGATTTTCACAAGCTTATCGTTTCTTGGGACATAAAGAGATGCAACGAGAGGCTCACTGGCGTTATGTTCATGTGCTCTTCCACTACTTATACCTGTTCTATGGTTAGTTCCATTAACATGATCATCACCCATCAACACCCTACCTGGTTGCTGCTGCTGTTCGTAGAACATATAATCTTTAGATACACCAGAAAAGCCACCATCTGTTACTCCACTGAATTTCACATTCATAATTGGAACTAACCCACCGAAGAGCAAGATAAATAGCAATAACCCGAGGAAGCTAATGCTAGCAACCTTTTTGGTTTTGGTTTTTGTTTTGGTTGTAGCTTCAGTTTTCTTCACTTCAACCTTCTTGGATTTCTGTGAGGATGTAGGTTGTTGGGGTTTCAATCTGGGAATTGGAACTAATGGTACCTGAGAACCCTGTGATTTGACTACATAAGGTGGACATGGCATCCAAGGATATCCCATAGGCGGCATTGCAGGGTGTGGTGGATACATTACAGGAGGCGGGCATACAACACCACCACCGCCGGCAACCATTTGTTGCCTTAAGGTTGCGTTCTCTGCTGCAAAGTAAGTTATTCTAGCATTCAAATCTTGGATAGTTGAATGCATTGCCCTGACCTTATCCTCTAACTCCTCGACATAATGTTTCTTCCTCTGTCGTGAAAGTTGTGCGCTCTCCCGGTTCCTTATCAGCCTCGCCTTCTTCTTCTCGTCTTTTCCGTCAATTTCATTCGAATTCTCAGTCGTTGTCGAAGTTCCATTTGACCTTTGGTACTTGATTGTCCTGGATTCCGAGTTCCCCTCAGGCGTCTCTTTCTTTCTCTTTAACATGAAATTACTCCCTGATTCCCGCTTCACCTTCTGATCAACAACGGAATTTCCAGAATCAGGTGACGGACAATTCATAGCGGCATCCGATCCGGCGGAGCCGCAATTTCCGGAACCCTGAGACGAAACCGGATTCTCAGTTCTCGATTCCGGAGACAGACTATCCAAAACCATGACAGTTTCCCCAATAAAATCTTTACCGGAATTATCCGGTGACGGAATGTTAAGAAATCCAGAAACATCCGATACTTGATGTTCCGACAAATTACCGGACTCCGCAACGACGGTTTCGGGGTCAGACACGAAGTCATTGAATTCAGGATCAGAGGATGACAGATCAATCGGATTGGTAGGATTGAAGGCGGAGTTGAAAAAGTCTTCGGTGTCTGAAGGGAGGTGTAAATCGTCAAAGGTGATGTCGAAGTCTCCATCGTCGTAGGGTAGAAAATCGTCGGGTAATGTGAGGTCATCGGAGAATATGGAGGAGCTGAGAGGGGGAATTGGTAGAGAGGCTAACGGATCGGCGACGGCCTGCATTTCTTCGGCCATTGTTAGGGTTTTTCGTCGGAGACGAAGACTCTAGAGTCTTGAGAGAGATTTGTTAGGCATTGAAAGTTTCCGTTTGAATGACGTTACTCGGTTCTACGCATTTACAAAGAGCGTTCCACGCACTTAAACAACGAGATCCATTATTAATTATTAAATATGAATAGACTAGTCTTGTGATTTTATCCGAATATAAAATATTATTTTTAAAATCTCTGAATAAAATATTTACAATAAAAATAAAAAATTAATAATATATGGTTCATAGATCATAATAAAAGTTCTTGAGTGATGTACCAAATATCAAGGGATAAAAAACTGAGATTGAAGAGTTTATAGAAGATGTTTCATTTTTGTAAGGTTAAAAATAAGAAAAATGCTATTGTTTCTAACATGTTTGGATTTTATCTCAATTGCATCTCCCTTTTGGAATAATATGAAGTGTAGCTTTATTTATACAATGATATATTTTTTTTAATTTAATTAATGAATGTAGTTTTTCTAATTAAAAATCTTTCGATATCACCAGAATCTGTCATTCTCTACATCGATCTTTCGTCTAATGTTATAAACTTCTAATGGCTGAAGCGGTTCAGCCATCAAGCTAAATTGTTCCTTGATGTTCGTTATAAAGACATAACCAAATAAGTTTTTTGTATTTCTCTTGTGTTTTCTTGATTTGGTAAATAAACTCACACATCATGCTACTCAAAGACTTGGAACTTGCAACTTGAACGTTGGTATGAACTATAAAGGATTTTTTCAGTTTTCAAATGTGGTTAAGTGTGGGGTTAAATTCAACAAATAGCAAGATACTTTTAGTTATTTTCGAAAGTAAGATGTCATGATAAACAAATAGTGAAAGTATGTTCCTACTTTGTTGCATTTAGTCCTTAAAGGTTTTGTTGATTCCTACGAAATTGGAATTGAGATTCTATTCATTGGAGTGTCAATACCATCAAAATCCTTAGAACTTTTTTATTTTTAATGTAATTTGAGGCAAAATTTTTAGAAAACTTTACATTAGTATTACTACATTTTTTTATGATACCTAGATTTTGTTATAAACATAATAAATTTAATTAAACAACCTTTTGCATTAACCCTTTAAATCTTTACCCTTTCTCTGGACCATCCATGAAAAACCATCAAGGGACTTGACTTAATTGTTGATGCATTAGAAGTCTAAAAGCATATCAGAAAGCGGCAATAAAACATCCTTTTGATAAGGTCTGAATTTTATTAAAAAGTTATACAAAAGGGTGTTAAAAATTTGGGATAATGACTTAAAAGGGTAACATATTATTGGTTTTGTAGACATTTAGTCCCTGACTTTTTTTTTGTCCACATTTTACCCTTGAACTTGTTGTTATGTATAAATTAAGTCATTATTACCGGTTGCTTCTAGTTAAGCCAGTCATTTTATGTTTTACTGGTTTACGTGGTAGTTACGTGGCAGTTACCCCCTTTCATGCTCATTTATCAAGAAGCCTCATTTATGAACCAAGATTAATTAGGGTTATATTGTCTTTATTCTCATAATTCCTTCTTGATCAGTTCCACATTACTCACACTTCTCTTCTCTCAAAACACCATTCTGATTCAATGGAGGAAAATCAAGCTTTTCCAAAAGTCGATGTACACTATAATGGTACTTTTGTGCCTAATCTGTTAGTGTATTTTGCTCCACAAGTACTACATCTGAATGAAGATGCAAACGAATTAGGTTTCTCCGATTTCGTCAAATATGTTGAGAAGCTTATCGATTTTCAGTGCAAGCATGTGTATTATTGTATACCTGAAGTAAGATTGAGTGAGGAGCTCCAAACAATACAAAATGAATGTAACTACTCTGAGTTTCTTGAGGTTGCAAATGCTAACAGACATGTGGATGTGTATATTGACCATGATAATGAACCTCTATTTGAGTGGATTCAGAAAGAAGAACCAGACGATGAAGACCTTGTGTATTCAGAAGAAGATGTCGACTCTGTTTTGGCAGATGATGAGAACTGTAAACATGAAGAGGATGAATCTGTTACATCAAGCAAAAGAATCTTCAAAAGAACCTATAATGATAAGTTTCTGAACAAGTTATGTCCAGTAGTTGTTGAAGATGAAGATGAAAAAGGCAATCAACTTTTAGTTGTCTACCCTAGGCATGATGCTACTCAGGAATGGAGGAAGATGAAGCCTGAACTAGGTATGAGATTCTCTTCTCCTGCTAAACTTAAGTCATCTCTCAGTAACTATGCAGTTGCACATGGATATGACTTGTATTATGAGAAGAATGACAAAGATAGGTTGCTTTTAAAGTGTTATAAAGGAAAAAGACCACAATGCCCTTTTAGACTATGGGCTTCCTGGATGAAAGATGAATAAACATTTCAAATAAAGTCCCTTAGAGAAGACCATAGTTGTTCAAGGGCATTCAAACTTGGTTCAATAGTTACCTACAAGTGGATAGGGAAACAATTTGTCACTGATATTTTGGAGTCCCCTAAAATGAGTTTGAGGAAGATGAAAGCTATGGTATCCAAGTTATTCAACATAAATGTTAGTGTTGGATAATGTAGGAATGCAAAAAGATTTGCATTGTGTGAAATTGAGGGTGATTTGAAAGATCATTATTCCAAGCTGTGGGATTATGGAGCTGAAATTAAAAGGGCTAACCCAAGATCTCATGTAGAAGTGTATGTGCAACCCCAAAATAATTCTATTGTGGTGTTTGAAAGGTTTTATGTGAGTTTTAAAGGAGTTGTTGATGGATGGTTAGATAGGTGTAGGAAGGTAATTGGGATAGATGGATGTTTTCTGAAGGGCATCTGTAAAGGAGAGCTCCTCTCAGCAGTAGGTTGGGATGGAAACAATAACATTTACCCAATAGCCTGGGCAGTAGTAAATGTTGAGAACAAGAATAATTGGAAGTGGTTATTGTACAATCTAATGGAAGACATAGATGAAGGGGAAATGGTAATGGAATCACATTGATGTCAGATGGACACAAGGTACATATATACACTACTATTTTTTTTTACAAAAATTACCTTTTACAAAAATCAATGCAGGGTATAATGGAGGTTGTGAAAGAAAGATATCTAGAAGTTGAGCATAGGTTGTTTGCTAGGCACATCCTTGCTAACTTCCATAAAAAGTTTAAGGGTGAGTGCTACATTAAACCTTATTGGAGGGCTGTAAAGGCAACTACAATTCCAAAATTTGAACTTGCAATGGAAGAAATCAAGAGTTTTGATGTAGGGGCATGTGATTATCTCATTAAAAGGGACCCCAAGTGTTGGTCAAGGGCTTTTTTTAAGGTTGGAATGGGATGTGATGCAATGGAAAATGGTGTGTCTGAGAGCTTCAATGTTGCTATTGAAGAAGCTCGAAAGAAGCCATTCATCACTATGTTGGAGGACATAAGGGTATTTGTGATGGAGAGATTGTACATGCAGAAAGGGAAAGGATTAGGCTGGGATTTGGCAATTTGTCCAACTATCAGAAGGAAACTTGGTAAACTAAAGAAGTTGAGAAGGTTAGTTGTTACAAACACTTTTACTTACTTTTTGTACATGCTAGTGCTAACTAACTTTTTGAATTGACAGATTCTAGGCATCATATGTTAGTGGATACAAGTAGTTTGAAGTTGTGCAATGTAATGAAAGGTACGGTGTTGACTTGGAGAAGAGAGAATGTGGATGCAGAGGTTACAATTGACAGGAATTCCTTGTGTACATGCCATATGTGCCCTATCTTCCTTGAATCTTGATCTAGAGGAACTTGTTGCAGAGTGGTTTACTAAATCTGCATTTCTTAGGGTCTATGAATACACCATACATCCCGTGAATGATAGTACCTTGTGGCCCCACATGCCTGATTTTCACCAGATACTACCTCCTATTAGGAGGAGGTTACCTGGTAGGCCATGTGTGAAAAGAAAAAGAGACCAAGCAGAAAATGAACTCAGTGGGTACACAAGGCATACAATAAGCAGGGCAGGTGTTCAACACAGATGTACAATTTGTAATGAAACTGGACACAACAAAGCTACATGTCCAATGAGGGGTCCTTCTGAAGCAGGTCCAAGTAAAGCAAGAAAGAAGAGTAATGCAAGAAACTGCCCTTCACAAGCAGGTCCGAGCACTCCAGCTCCAAGTGCTCCAACACATGTCAATCAAGATCCTTTGACTCAAGACCATGTCCCTGTGAATGAAGATCCTATGAATCAGGAGAATGTGAATGAAGTTCTTGTGAATGAAGTACCTATTAACCAAGATCTTGTGATTCCAGTACCTGTTAACCAAGTGCCTGTGAATCTTGGTGTTAGAGTGCCTAGGAGACTTGGTGTTAGAGCAAGGAAGCCTTAAGATAGAATCAACAAGATACAAATCAGGAAGCAGGTTTTCCGAAAAGATGGCAAAGGAGTGACTAAGGACAACCTAGTTACTTTAGATTTAGATTGATTAGGGTTACTTATTTTCTTTTGCTTTGGAAGTATGTAATAGTACATTGTGTATGGTGACTTTCTTTTGTTAATTGGGCCAAATTTTGATGTAATTGACAATACTACCCTTGCTTGTATCCTAGCAACTTTTTATGGTCTTTAAGTAATGGAATTGGATATGGTATCCTATGTCAATTGTGTTTTGTCTTTTTCAATCTTTATTGGTATTAATGCATTAATTTTTTAAGAAGGTCATAATGGGAATCATATGTCAATTGTCTATTGGGAATCATATTCCCTATTTGTTTCTATCAATGTCCTTTGTCTTTTGGTTGTTGAAGTTGCAGACAAATTCAATTATCATTATCCTTGTCTTTTGGCTATTGAAATTGCAGTCAAATTCAATGTAAATTACAATCAAATGTTCACCATGTAACACTTCATTCAATATGCAAACTCCATTCAATACATTTAATATAAACTATTCAGAACATTCCATATAAACCATTCAATCCCTACATTCAAAATACCACAATTCAATACATCATACAAAACTTTATTCAAACTGTTTTCATATAATATTATAGCTGATTTCAACCCTATAACTATGTGCTTTATTCTTCAGTTCTTGAACTTCTTTCTTCAAACATGCAACATCCATTTTAACTGCTTCAAGTTCTTGTTTTAAATCTGGATTCCCAGTCATAGGTTCATCAATCCATTCCCAATACTTACATTTCTTACCTGGTTTCTTTGAAATCAAATATAAAAATTGTAAGAACCTCAAAATCTTTATTTATTAGAAACAAAATCAAAAGTACATAGGGAAATTAAGATCCGCATACCAGAGAATTAGGGAAAACTTTGAACTTTTTGTTAGGGTTGTCTTTAGTCTTCAATGTGCATATTCGAACCGGGAGTTGACAATCACATAGCTCCTCTTTCTTTGCGATAGAACGAAATGAACTGGGAGTCGACATCTTCTTCTTCGATTTTGGGTATGGGTTTGAATGTTTTTTGACTGGAATTAGGATAGGTATGGTATTATAATCAACGGAACTAAGAGATGATCCACGTAGGAGTGTTTTCTTTTAATGAGTGTCCACATAGGCAGCCATGCCAACAAATTTGGAAGCAACCGGTAATAATGACTTAATTTATACACAACAACAAGTTCAAGGGTAAAATGTGGAAAAAAAAAAGTCAGGGACTAAATGTTTACAAAACCAATAATATGTTACCCTTTTAAGTCATTATCCCTAAAAATTTATACATTTATTCTTTTCGTGATGTAGGCTGACAAATGGAGATCATGACGTGTGGAAGAGAATATTTGATAATATCTATAAAATAGCCAAAATAGACATCTTAAAAACAAAACACTAAGGTGCTGTTTGTTTTTTGTAAAAACATTTTCAGACCTCTTATTGTTGCACGACATAGCACACGCGCAACATTTTTCATCTCGCAGTTGTTTGTTTTTTAGAAGTTTTCGGAGTAAAAAAACATTTGCGTGTATTCTGTTTGGCACAACACTTGTATTGACTCTTCCAATATTTTTTTTATTGTTGAAATCTTAATGAGTCTTGATTATACGTTGTTGAATTCTTGTTTTATCTTTTTTTTTCGTTTTTTTTTTCTTTGGTTTATTCTTGCAAAATGATTTGTTTTCGTTTTTATATTAAATAATGATAATTTCTTGCTGAAATATCATTATTTTTGTTGAAATATCATTATTATTTTTTTTATTGAAATATCATAAACTTTTGCTAAAATACCATATATTATTAAATTTTCAGTATTAAAAAAACTATTTTTGTTATATAATATCAGTTTATTTTAGTTTTTTAATATCTGCAACAGTATGCAGATTGTTAAAAAATAAACACGTTTTTATTACAGTCTGCAATCGTTTGGTCCATCTTTTCTGCCGCAGTTTTATGAATTTTTTCTTAAAAAAAAACAAACAACACCTAAAAATGTGGAGCAAAGGCTTACCCTCTAGTTAATTATTTAATATGATTAGATTAGTCGTATGATTTTATCCCAATATAAAATATTATTTTAAAAATCTCTTAATAAAATATTTATAATAGAAAAAAATTAATAATATATGGTTCATAGATCATAATAAAAGTTCTTAAGTGATGTACCAAATATTAAGGGATAAAAAGTTAATAATAATAATAAAACGAGATTGAAAAGTTTATAGAAGATGTTTCATTTTTATAAGGTTAAAAATAAGAAAAATGCTATTGTTTCTAACATGCTTGGATTTTATATCTATTGTATCTCCCTTTTGGAATAATATGACGTTTTAGCTTTATTTATACAATGATATATTTTTATTTTATTTAATTAAACTAGTTTTTCATTTTTTCTTTTTTCTAATTAAAGATATATATAATGAACATTTTAAAATCATAATATGAGGTTATCTAATAACATGACACGGTTAAATTTTTATTTATAAATAATATTATTTTCTTTTTTAATAATTTATGTATTAATGTTTTATAGTTTACAAATTTATTTAACTATGTCTCATTATTAATTAATTTATATAATTGATTTGACTTATAGAACTATATTTCAATATATAAATACATTATGGGTGTTCCGCAAAATATGTAAAATTACAAAAAATCATTTACCTCAAACAAACCATTAATTTTAAAATGGGTATATAGCTTTATTTGCAAAACTATAAATTTTTTTTTTTGTTAAATGCTATTTGTAGTAGCTTTTAGACTTGAAGTTTTTTGTTTTACCTAAAATCTAAAAGGTCTCACCCCCGAACGAAACTTTTTCTATAAGATAATATATTTCTAAAATCTAACAGAAGTATCGACTTAGAAATAAAATGTATAAGATACATTATTATAAGCAAATTAACGATTACAATGAAAGTTACTAACTTAAACTTGAAAACTGGATATATGTTTGGAAAATTAAGTAGTCTAACCATTTTTTGGTGTTTTTTTTTTTAAATAACAAGTGTTACATATGTTTCGCAAAATAATCTTTTTTCGGAATAAGCTATTCCATAGTTCACTTCATGCTATATGGATCAGACCCAATCCAATCAACTCATTCTAGAAGGCCCATTCTGACATGTTCCACAGGAAAAAGTACCTATCATTTAATGCAAATTTTGTTTTGAAATATCTACACATTTTGGAGATCTACACATTTCGGAGTAAAGAAACAAAGAAGATATAACATATAATTATGATGATTTGGTTATTTTATATGTTAGTTTTTCATTCATACACTTTTAGATGTTTAATTATAGGATTAGTATTGTAAAATAGTGTAACACCTGGTTCCTGAATTGAGTAATTGGCAGGTGCGCTTACCAAATTGTTTATTGGAAGATTTCAAGTTTTGGGAGGTTTTTAATTGGAATGCTTGATTCCCGATTATGCTTTTCTCATATTTTGATTGGTGGTTTTATAATCCAAAGGAAATGGAAGGATATGGCTAAGAAGGAACCCATTAATCACATTTGTTAAAAAACTGAAAATTTGTTGAATTACCCTGAGAGCGCAGAGCACCTCTGGCCTAATGGGTTGAACATGTTTTTAGGGTTTTAAGGCTATGAAGGTTCATTAACTCCAATAATTTGTTATTTCTCAGCATCCATCACCTCTTGAATGATCCTTATGAAACCCTAGCTTCCATTGTAGGATTTTGAGCTCATTTTCTCTCATAAAATAAAATTTTGGTGCTCAGTTGGATATCTTTAGTGCTCTATAGTGAACTAAACAAGAAAGATTGATCAAAGGAGCTTTGCATCTAAATTATTCAACCTTTTTACCATTTTTCGACTCTTGTAAGTCATAAAGATTCAAGTTTTATTGGTTTTCATCTTTAGATTTATGTATATTTGGTGTTTTTGTCCATTTGGATGAAGTTGTGGTCCCTTTATAGCTTGATCTATAGAGTTTGGATAACTTCATGAGCTTAGAGTCATGTTTGATATATATTTGATCTTTTGGGTTGAGATTTGAGTGCTTGCATGCTCTCTTTCGCTCCATGCATGAAGAAAGATTCATTATTGGACATTTCTTGACTTATGACTTTAGATCTAGTAAGTTTGGAGTGATTGATTGGATATAGTTGGTAACTTTATCTATTAGGACATCATTTAGGTATAGATCTGAGACTTGGAAGCTTGGACTTAATGGATTAAGTCGTTTTGGAATTCTGAGTTTGGCTTGGGCGTGACGTGTTTTCGTAAAAATATGATCCGTGTTTGTTTTCGACCAAAAGTCTAACTGTTTTGTCCTGTTGTAGGCGCGGAGCACCTAAGAGGAGGGGGGGAGTGCCTATTGACTTGGGGTTAACTTTTTGACCAGTTTGAATTCCAGTCAAATTGAGGGGTTTTGAGTTATAGACCGAGGTTTAGTCTTTGTTTGGTTCGGCGATTCGTGTAGCTGATTCATTAGGCTTCGAGTAACGGATTTTAGCTCCTTGTTCGGGTGAGTTTCTATTGTACTCTATATTGCAATATGTATTCTCTGTAGGATATGATGTGTTTATGTTGTAGTATGTTGTTAGGCAAGTAGACTAGATAGATAGTTGCATGTGGTATTGGATAGTCTGTGTATCTTTTTGGGGTGTGTGTGTGTGTATGTGTGTGTGTGTATATATATATATATATATATATATATATATATATATATATGTTAGCATATTATGTGTTGAGTTGAGGGTGGTCCACCTGTGTTGTAGGCCAAGATACTCAGGGCGGACCAACTATGTGTTGAAGGCCAAAGGGGTAGACTAGCTATGTGCTGATGGTCGGGAAGGACCAACTTTATGCTGGAAATCAAAAGGGCGGTGTAACGTCCCAAAAATCATGACTAATGTGCACTGCAATCTTCCCGAGCTCCTCTTTTGAAAATTGAGTACCTAAAA